TTCGTCGTTTATCAGCGTAGCTTTTTTGTCGATCTTGAGAGGATTTCAGTCTCTCATGAATTTGTACTATCTTTTCTACCGTCTCTCGGATGATTTCTGGACCGGTGAGAGTGCTGTCAGGAACTTGTCCGTTAGCTAGCTGGGTGTCACCCACCTCAGCCTAACATAGAGGGGATCTGCACTTCCGGCCATATAGGGCTTCAAAGGAAGCCGCCTTGATGCTTGTGTGATAATTGTTGTTGTAGGAGAAGTCGACAAGGGTTAAATCAGTATCCCATGACTTTCCAAAGTCAATAAAGCAGGCTCGCAACATATCTTCTAGAGTTTGAATAGTCCTCTCACTATGTTCATCAGTTTGTGGGTGGTAGGTTGTATTCATGTCCAACTTGGTCCCCAAAGACTTTTGTAGCGACTGGAAGAATCTCGAGGTGAATCTACTGTCTCTATCATAGATAATGGATAAAGGCACCCCGTGTAGTCGTACAATCTATCTAGTGTAGGTTCTGGTTAGCTTTTCCGTCTTGTTCGTTTCTTTGATCAGTAAGAAGTATGCAGACTTGGTTAACCTATCAATGATCACCCATATGGTATCGAGACCACCCGTTACCTTGGGCAATTTGGTTATGATATCCATAGTAATCCGCTCCCACTTCCATTCTGGTATCTCAAGTTACTATCGTAGACCTGATGGTTTCTAGTATTCAACCTTAACGTTGGTGCAAGTAAGACACTTGCCTACGAAGGTAGCAATTTCTGCTTTCATGTTAGTCCACCAGTATAACTTTTTGAGATCCAGATACATCTTATCTGAACCTGGGTGAACGGAGTATCGAGTGTTGAGTGCTTCCTTCATGACCACTTCCTTGAAACCACCATGACTTTGTGTCCAGATCCAATCCATGAGATATAGAGCTCTGTTACCCTTGACTTCTAGATTTATGTCCATCCCTCTTAAGTTTTCACCCGCCATATTCTCAGGTTTCAAGGCTTTCTGTTGAGCCTCTTTAATTGTGTGGAAAGGTGTGAATGGATTGTCATAGTCAATGATTTGAATCTACAACCTCAATATTCTTTCCGACTTAGGGTGTCTACTACTACATTGGTTTTACCGGGATGATAACGAATTTCACATTCGTAGTCATTTAGTAGCTCAACCCACCGCCGCTGTCTCATGTTGAGTTCCTTCTGATTAAAAATGTGTTGGAGGCTTTTGTGATTGGTGTAGATAGTGCTTTTCATTCCATATAAGTAGTGTCTCCAGATCTTTAGGGAAAAAAATGACTGCTCCTAGCTCAAGATCTTGCATAGTGTAGTTAACTTCGTGTGCCTTCAGCTGTCTCGAGGCATAGGCGATGACCTTTCTCCGTTTCATTAGAACACAACCAATCCCTTCTGGGAGAGATAGTATCTGTGTGCTACACATGGCTTGTTTAAGCCCTTTTGCATTCTCTTGTTTTCTTCCCAGCTAAAGTTCACACCCTTTTGTGTCAGGGTGGTAAGTGGCTTAGCTATTCTTAAGAAGTTTTGAATGAAACTGCAGTAGTAGCCAATGAGGCCTAGAAATTGACGAATTTCTGTACGCATTCTTGGTGCTGACCAGTTCTCAATAGCCTTAATCTTGGAAGGATCCACATGAATACCCTCTTTGCTCACCACGTGAACCAGGAATTGAACTCTTCGAATCCAAAATTCACATTTAGAGAACTTTGCATACAGCCTCTCTACGTGTAGTGTTTCCAAGATTTAACGTAGATGTTGACTATCTTCCTCCTTACTACGCGATTAGATAGGTATATAATCGATGAATACAATCAAGAACTTATCCAAGTAAGGATGACACACTCTGTTTATTAAATCCATGAATACTGCGGGCGTGTTCTTTAATCCAAAGGGCATCACTACGAACTCGTAGTGACCATAGCGAGTTCGAAAGGCTGTTTTGGGAATATCTTCCTCTAGAACTCGTAACTGATGGTACCCATATCTTAAGTCAATTTTAGAAAAGTAGCTTGCTCCTTGGAGTTTGTTGAACAAGTCGTTGATGCGCGGAAGAGGATAACGGTTCTTAATGGTTAACATGTTAAGCTTGCAATAGTCGATGCACATACGAAACAATCCATCTTTCTTCTTCACGAATAAGACTAGTGATCCCCAGGGCGAGAAGCTTAGCCGTATAAATCCTTGGCGAAGGAGTTCGTTCAGTTGACTGGATAGGTCTTGCATCTCCGCTGGTACTAGAAGATAACGCGAGTTGGCTACAGGGGTAGCTCCAGGAATTAAGTCGATTCTGAACTCAACTTGTCACTGCGGGGGTACCCCTTGGAGATCTTCAGGAAAGATGTCGGGGAAATCGTAGACATCTGGGATGCTCTTCAAGTCTTTCACCTCTTTGCTCGCATCAACAACATGAGCCAAGAAGGCATGGTATTCCTTTCGTAAGTACTTCTAGTCTTGAATGCATGAAATTATTCGAAGATCTGTGCCTGTTTTGTCGCCATAGATCACTAGGGTTTCACTACTAGGCAGATTTAGACGGACAACTTTCTCAAAACAAAAAATGTCGGCACGATGGAGACTTAACCAGTGCATGCCAACAATGATGTCGAAACGTTTAACTGAAACATGCATAAGGTCAATTGGAAATGGATGATTATCTAGAGAGAGGCTACATCCTATGAAAATTTTGCTAGAGGTCTTAGTATTCCCATTAGCCATTTCTACAATGAACGTTTCTTTTAGTGCTTGTGGTGCTTGATTAAGTAAGTGTTTAAATTCTTGGTTCACGAAACTCCTCTCCGCTCCACTATCGAATAAAATGCATGCATATGAGTTGTTGACGAGAAATGTACTCATGACCACCATGGTGTCTACCACGAATTCACCATTACCAATAGCAAGAACTCTTCCTGCTCCACCCATGTTCCTTGCCTTAGGGAAGTTTCTTTTGAAGTGCCCTATTTCGCCACACCCATAGCAGGCCTAGCTTGCTCCTGTGCTAGGGACCTGGGTGATATGCCCCTTTGGTGCCTTGTAGAAACGGGTCGTGTGCCCTTTCATGTCATAATTAACACAATGCATTTCACAGTAGGGGCGTTGTGATGGAAATCACACTTGAGCAGGCTCCCCACATATTGTTTCGCTGGTGCAGGGGCTGCAGGGGTTGCTGCAACATGAACAGCCACAACTTGTTTTTTCTTGGTGGAGGTTTGTGCTGATTGGCTTTTCTTCCTATCCCAAAACTCCCTCTTGTTAACACTTGTTTTGGCCATTTCTAGGACAATAGGGGTAGTTGTTGCTGATTGTGGTTGGACTCCATGGTCCACAACTCCTTGTGCTAACCGCTTGGCACTGTCAAATGTAGTGGGGTTTGAAGTCAAAACATTCCCCAGAAATGGAGGTACCAGTTCCCATATATATCTTTCAATCTTCTTGCTTTATGTGGGGACCATACTTGCACATAGGGCCACCAAATCACTGAACCTTGCAATATTGGCCACTATGTCAGAACCTTTCATCTTAAGGCCCCAAATCTCTTGCTCGAGCTTTTGAATTTCGCCACTCAAGAAGTATTCTGCTTTCATGAGGTCCTTCAATGTATCCCGACCCATCTCATTAGCCACTACCAGGGTGAGTGACTTGACATGGCCATTCCACCACGTCATGGATCTGTCAGAAAAGGTACAAGCATCAAATTTTACCTTGCTTCCTTCTGGGCAGGAGCAGATCTCAAAGATCGACTCCATCTTCTTAATCCATTGCGATAGGGAAATGACTTCCCCAGTCCCATTAAAGACCATGGGTTTGCAGTTGGTGAAGTACTTGTAGGTACACTCCATTGTACACGTTTGGCTATCACCTTGGTTGGAGTTGGTACCTGTTCCAGCTCCACCGGCGCCATCGAAATTCATATGCGTCATGGTTGTGGTTACAGCTGCAGTCACAACAGCTTGAAATGTCGCTGCATCGAACTGTGGTGGGGGTGGTGCAGGAGTTGATTTTTTGGAGGATTTCGGTTGGGGTGCTTGCGAGGAGACATCATTTAGCTATAAAAGATGAAATGGTGATAAGACTACTGTAGAGTTACCAAATTGAATATTATTGAGTTAGAATAGAGTTCGATAGAGATGATTGCTAACGAAAACAATGTCTATCGTTATAGTTGGTATGAAAGTTACATAGAGTTCGGAAAATTCGACCTTGGAGTAGGTATCACAACATACCAACAGAGGGAAAACTTGACAGCATAAAGATCTATTGAAATAGTACTTGCTAGACAGGAATATTTACAGGAAAGAGTGCTACTTAGAGCATCTACGAAGGCTATTCCTTAAGCCATAAGAAAGCGTGAGTAGAGAATTCTCTAATACCGACGGGAACGCTCGGATGAGCCCTTGATTCTGCTAACCGACGCTCCATTTCTCACATGCGCCTCTCAAACACTGCCTGATGTGCTCGCAGCTCTCTGACTTCAGCTTGAGTTGTAATTAACTCCTACAAAAGATCCTCATTGTGATTTAAGGTCCTCCTTTGATGTGCTTCAAGTTGGTGAATAGCTGCCCTGCCCTACACATCATTACGAGCAACTCGGTGAACCAAGATTGGAATGATTCTGTCTGCGGAGCCTCCCTCGCTCAGGTTATATATGTTGCAGTCTCCATTATACGGAATGGGTTGACCATGTTCATGGCTCCACCTACCCAAATTCTCTACCCACGGAGGTGTTGGGACTTGAAATTCAGGCACTACTAGAAAACTTCCCTTTAATGACACACAAACAATGACACACAGTGATTTACGATACACATTTTTTGGGTGTCCAAAAAATAACGTCCGTTTGTAAAAAAATGAAAGATAGAGGACACACATTTTTGCGGGCCCTTAAATTAGTGTCCAATAAAAAAAATTAAAAACACGGAGGGAACTTATTTTAAAACGGGCGTTATGTAGATATGTCGCTTTATATTTGTTAAATGAAACACGGTGGGGGGTGGGGGGTGGAAATGAAAATTTTGAAAGGCCTCCACGTTTATCCCGAAAAGTTTGAAAGGCCGCTATGTTTATCCTATGCCTTATTTCCATTGGTCTTTTCACTCTCTCTCTCTCTCTCTCTCTCTCTCTCTCTCTCTCTCTCTCTCTCTCTCTTTCTCACTCTCTCTCTCTCTCTCAAATACCTAAAAAACCCTAATGTCATCGCCAATCCTCTTTACGGATCTCTAGTTTTCGAAGTTTGTTCTAGATTTCACTTGGAGAAATTACCTTCGTCCTGCAGTTCTACATCCTCGTCAAAACCTCCCAAGATCAGATCCCCGAGTATAGGTGCAGTCACTCTTCTAGCACTCAGAAACTGTGCTCCTGATGTGTTCCCGTATGTCGCAGCCGTCGGTGGCGGAAACCCCCGAACAGGATTCGACACGATTTTATCTGCCGAGACTTTCGTTTCAGCTCTCTTCGTTGGTTTCGTCGTGATCTATGCAGTTCCCTTTTTTGTCTCCCCTGCGCCTTTTATAAGGGACGTGTTGTTTTATCTGACGACGACGTTGGGGATGGATAGTGGTGGGAAATTGAAGTGTGGTGGTTGTGAAGTTCAAAATGAAACAGATTCTATCGATCTACTAACATCACACTATGTCCTCTCACTCTAATGTACTCCTGCAAATCCTTTATCCCTCTAAATCATCCAATTTCATTTCTCTTTCCTAACATCCATCTCCCTCTCTGGTTAATCCTACTCTTTAGGACCTTGTGACTATCACTAGTCCATTACATAGTCAAAAAGAAGCCCCATAAAACATAGCAACTACCAGTAGTTCTAACGGGATTCATCATGAGTGTGTGTTGGATTTTTTGACTTGTGGTTCTGGTAATTATTGTATCTTCAAAGTTTTCTGATTCAAAATTTTGGATATAAAATTTGATTAATTAACATCTATTTTGTAGGAATTGTCACTCGCCCTCTTGTTCTACTTCTTTGTAAGATTGAAGAAGGAAAAAAATATGCAGAGTTTGCTCACATTCCACGAAAGTGGTTCACTGATTTTGGTATTATGACTAAAAAGCTTATGATCCTTTTGTAATTCTCAATCTCTCTGCATAATCTTCTTATAAGTTTATATACTTTTGTAGCTGCTTTGAGGAAGGAGTTTGCTAATGAAACAGACAGAGTGATAGGTCATACCAAACATATTTCATATGTTCCTATGTATCTCAGTATCTATTCTCCAAATGGTAATATATAATTATAAACAAAAGATGTTTCATGAACATCAAATGTTAGAAAGCATAATAAGTTATTAATAAATCTATTATGTCTAAATTTCTGATCTTTTATAATAAGTTACCAAACAGATTTCATCCGGATAAAGATAACAAGCCTACTGATTTATTTGATATAACATCGGATTTATCATTGGTGTGTAAATCTTGTTCTTCATTTTACTAAAGTACACCTTTAAGTTTACTATCTAGATTCTCTCTGATTCTATCCATGTCATCTTTGAGCAGATTATTGCTTCAGGCCCTTACACCACGACTGACAACTTATTATTTGAGCCATTATCTGATCTTCTTGCATATGCACAAAGAAAGCAGCCTCAGTTGCATATACTGGTGAGAATTTACAATTTTAAACCTATAACTGTTAAAAATCAAAACCACTCTAAACTAACAATCATTATATTTAACTCATTAACAGTTAGAGCCTTTCATTGATTTGGAGCACCCCAAGATCAAGAAAGGAGCTTTAAACAGGACTTATGATGATTTATTCCATCTTGAAATCCTTAGGAGGGTATAATCATCCAAACTGGTAGTTTATTTTTACCTGTAACACTTTTATTTCCACTTTTTCCCTTGATTTTTTATATATCAGTTGTTCCTCAGCTTCAAGATTATGTGGAATATATGGCTCTGCTGCACGTGTGATTCTTGTGCCATCTATACGCGTTGCACATCATGACTATGTATTTCCTCAAGTAAATTTATAATTTTATGGTTAATGAAAGAAATATTCATAAATATTACAGTAGGTTACATGTTGGTCCCTGAGTCAAGCAAATGCAGCCATGGTAATTTTTTACTTAACTTTTTTGTTACCCATGATGTAAAATGACGTATATGCCCTTACAGGGGGATGCAGGTTACTAAGATGTAATAGACTGCTCATATGCCTTTTCCAATGTATGTAAAGTGTAAACCTCATTATGTTCATTTATTTCTATTTACAGAATGAAAATAATACTGATAATTCACAATTCTATAGTTACTTCAAGTAAGCCCAGATGAAATCTTGATAAAATCAACTGCGGTAATTGGTCAACGAATGAAGAAGGTAAATAACACAACAAGTTCATTTTTAGTCAATTTCTTTATCACTTTTTTGACTTATCATATTATGTGTAGGAGCCTCTTCTTAATTCACTTACTAGGTTAATTAGTTTGCTTTCATCAAGTGTCAAGTGGTAATGTTGTAATTTGTAACTCCTTGTATTCCTTTCCTTTAAATGTTAAATTAATTATCAATTCTACTTTCAGTTTGCAGAGCAGATTCTGCTGCTGTAGCAATAACGACAACTGATCTTGTGAGCAAGAGTGTAGCAGTTGTAATTTGTAACTCCTTTTAGTCGTTTAACCCATAGTGACATGTGTGTATTGATAACTAAAATATTGCTTATTAAATGTTGCAGGTAGATAGGGATACTAGCACCAGTGCTACCATTATTGCTTTGGCTAGTGGTTTATCTGAATCAAATGTGCCTTGATGCGGTATGTTTAAATTACCAATTTACCCTTTTGTTGTTACATGCATTTTACAAGTGTTTATTTTTTGTTTTTGTTTTTTTTTTGTTAAGGTAATGCAAGGGCTTGCCAAATCAATAGCATGGGATGGAGAAGGGGCAACAAGTCTGATAGAGGTCTGTTTATTTATTTATTTTCAGGCAGAAGGGTATTTATGGAATATGTCTTGTCTATGTAGGATTCTTGGGTTCCAAGTACCATGGTTCAGGCATCTTGATGGTTGTTTTGCTGGTTAATCTTGATGTCTTATTATAATCTTTCCTTTTTTACATGTTGGTATTCTATAGTTCCATCATGATGTCAATATTTTGTCTTCTTCTCTTGCTAATAGGTCCAAGAAATCTTGTACGTAGATTGGACCTTTGTCTCTCTTTCGCAGCTTTTCTGTGATCTTCTTTTATGGTAAAAGTCCACATGATAATGTGTGATAAGAAGAGGTTTATTACATCTATGAGGCTTTTAGTTGCATAATTGCTTTTTTTTTCTTGTCTATATCTTGACATCTTGGATCAGTTTGCATCATGATGAAAACTTTTTTGTCTTATTTTCTTGCTGTTAGGTCTAGATTGGACCTTTTTTCTATTGTGACTTCTTTTGCAAATCCTTAATTCGGTGATCTTTTCATGGTAAAAGGTAAAAGCCTCATGCCAGTTTCACATAAAACTTTATGAAAAGATGAGTTTTATTTAACTTGTTGGTTTCTTAGTTGTGCATATGGAATAAAAAAAATTAAACCATATCAGATTCACATAATAGTTTGTGATAAAGATAAAAAGGAGTTAATTTTGCATTATTTTGTAACATAGTCAGTCACCTTACTGTTTGATTTAATTCGGAAATATGTGGTGTAATTTGCAGAAAGAACAACACATGGATGACCCTTGCAGCTTGGTAATTCCATATGATTTCCTAAAAACTTTTCATCCTTTTTTTGTTATTTTGTAGTTATATAATCCATCTTCACACTTATTTTGTAGTTATGTTTTTTTGCAGGCGATATAGATACTGTGAGCAAGTTCATAGATTTAGAGTCCTTGAGTGGTGTTATTAAGGAAGAGTGGAGACAAGTGAGGCACACATTTAAAAAAATCAGCACAAATCTAGTTTACAGTGAGGCACACATTAGGTTATTAGAGCTATTAGTTTGTAAATTTATGTTATAACTTTTATTGATTTGTTTTATTTTTCTATAGAACAATTATTTGTATGACATTAAATTTTATGTAATGGATTATGTTTTTTGTATATGAGATATTATTTTCTATTATGGGATATTAAATGCAAATTTAATTTAAAAATTAGTAAATCCATAAATAATTTTTTTTTTTAAAATTTGAAATTATGATACGCAAAAATGTATGTCATCTTCATTTATGACATGGCCTTTCTTTACAGGGGCTTTCTTGATACATATTGCGTGTCATTAATACGCGCGTTGTAAGGTTATGACACGCGAATGCGTGTCGTCTTCATTTATGACAGGGCCTTCCTTGATAAGCGTTGTGCATCGTAAACGCGCGTCGTAAATGTCACACCCCAAAACCAAGAACGGCGAAAACGTTCTGCGGCGGAGGACGTCATGTAAGTATCACAACACGGTAAATGTAAATAAGCAAACAACATCATCCATTGCATTAAATATATAATTTTAATACAAGTGTGTTCTGTACATTGTAGACACCAAAAATAACGTATATCAAAATAATAATACGATGAGTCTTGAATGCGCTCCATCTTCTCAAAAGCTGGCCTCGGTACCTGACTACTGATGACCTGAGAATACAAGTTATTTTGAAAGAGTTTTTCAGCATTAAGCTGGTGAGTTCATAAGTATTTTAGTGTCTGAGATTGTCATTCAAAAATGTTTGAACCTGTATCAAGTATAAGTTTGTAAAATGTATGTAAAAGTTTGCAATTGTTTGTAAAAGTTTGAATCTCTCAGAAAAACCTATATTTTCTATTAAAGAAGCCTTCTACCAAGGCTTAACTGTTTTGTATGTTCGTTTGATGTAAAAGTGTGTAATTTCCCAAATGTAACTATCATTTAACAAAATATAGTTTGTACATAAACGTTTAAGTGAGGTTATCACTAAAAATATGTAATGGGTAAATTAATGTAGTACTGTAGCCTTGTGTTATAAGAACTACTGCGGTACTAACTACCTTAAACCGGATTTATATTAAGGCATTACGTGATAAATTGCACCATACTATCGACTAGTAACAACGACAAATGAATGGTCGTAATAACGGAATGACGTTTGGCACCCGCAGACCTGCAGGTCCGGCTGTAGCTAGCAGCAAGGTGTAGGATTGTCAATCCAGTATAGATCTATACGCAAACTCAACGCTCTCCCTTCAAGAGAATTCTGGCTACAACTCGAGCCATGACAGTTAAGTCATGCTCCGATTTAAATCACAATAATAAAGTATTCATGTATATGTACTGTTTCTCGTTCTAGTATATGTATATGTACTGTTTCTAGCATCATTGTATATGTATTGTTTCTAGTATATGTATATGTATTGTTTCTAGCATCATTGTATATGTATTGTTTCTAGTATATGTATATGTATTGTTTCTAGCATCATTGTATATGTATTGTTTCTAGCATCATTGTATATGTATTGTTTCTAGTATATGTATATGTATTGTTTCTAGCATCATTGTATATGTATTGTTTCTAGTATATGTGTATTTATTGTACTGTGTTACCCTGATGGTAACTAACTATTGATGTACTGATAAATATGAATATGGAAGTACTTTTATGTCTATACATGTATATATTATATATAACTAATGTTGAAACGACCTTCGGATGGTCACCCGAAGTCCCACCAGACCACATCTCAGTGCGCGAAAAGGAAATAGGGCGGATGGCCTTCCTAAGCCCTTTAAACTTACTTATATATATATATATATATATATATATATATATATATATATATATATATATATATATATATACATATATGGGCATGCAATTTATAAGAAGTAAAACAAAGTTTAATAAAAGCATTTGATAAGTAATAAGAGTTTGTAAAACATTTGAAGTGAAACAGTTTGATAAACAGTTTGAACATTGGTAAAATCGTTGTTTTCCTAGTTATTAATCACATGTGATTAAATGGAATCACATGTGATTGAAGCAATAACTATAAGTATTTGACTTGTATTCCCCCCCATAAAGTATTTAAAACATTTAAAATCATTTCAAAGGTTGATTCAAGGGGTATGAACTCACTTGTGGTGAGTCGTTTGAATTGAGGTATCGGGTACCGTGCTAAGTGTCAAACGGAGACTTGTTCACACGTTCGAGCCTAGTTATCATATAATAAGCATATATATAACTAATTGGACACATAATAACTTAACAAGGTAAGTTAATACAATTAGGAACATGTAAACACTCTTATGAGTGTTTAAGGTTCAAATGGTTGCATCTAAGTTGTTACGGGACAAGGCAAAAGGGTTTGAAACATCAAATGGCCTTGCATAGGAGTTCACCACCCAACAAACCCCACATCTTGGAGTTTACGGCCGTAAACTCATGGGTTTATGGCTGTGAACTCCTCAAAGGTTTGTTTTGGGTGTTTTATGGTGCTATCTTGGTCCTAGCTCACTCCTAGCTTTGCTGGAATAACATATGAAGCAGTTTAAGGCTCTTGTATACTCCTTAATGGAGTTTTGGGCCCAAAGTCCTCTCACCCTAGAGTTTACGGCCGTAAACTCTTGGATTTTAATTGATTTGAGGCTCTTAAACATCAAGGATGGCTTCCATGAATTTATCTAAGGCTAATGGGGACAAGATGCACACATTTAGGGCATTACTTGGAGTTTACGGCCCAAGATATGTTCATTGGCCGTAAACTCCTTTCAAGGAGTTGTTTTGATGTGTTCTACTCTCCATTCTAGTCCCAAGTATGCAAGGTAAATTGTCTTAAGGCCTTAGGTGTGCTTGGAATGATTTTTACATAAAAAGGAGGGGTTTACGGCCCAAGATCCTTTCCTTGGCCGTAAACTCCTAAAACTCTATCATTTGGAAGTGTTTTCAAGTCCAAAACAAGCACAAGTACTAGTGGTTAAAATCTTAAGGCTCAAGGAGGCACATTAGGGCATGTTTGTCCATTTGAAAGGGGTTTACGACCTAAGAGTTCTTTGGCCGTAAACTCCTCTAATCTTGTGTTTTTGGACATATAAATGATGTTATAAAGCATATAGCAAGTATTAAAACATGTTTAGGAAAGCAGACTCACAATCCGGGATGAAAACCCGAAGATCCGTCAGAGAGAATTGGCTTTTCTCTAGTTGGAATTGTAAATAATGAATTAATTTAGTTGAGAAAACTATTTATAGTCCTGGAATATTTTGACAGAAAATATTTTTATTCCGGAAGTCGGACTATAACATTGTGAAACTTACAATGTTCAAGGTTCACGATCATAGGAGCATCCATTCTCCGGATATGTCCAGAAACGTAAACCCTAATGTACACAAACTTGTTCGGACAAGTCTGAAATTTACAGAAATTGGACTAGCTTCTATTGAATAGATGATCTTCGTACAAATGAAAATTTCGGGTTGTCACATCATCCCCCCGTTAGAAGGAATTTCGTCCCGAAATTAGAATTTAAGCAATTAAAAGTTACAAATAACTAAGCGAAGAGATGAGGATGTTTCAGTTTCATCTGATCCTCGCGTTCCCAAGTGAATTCTGGTCCTCGCTTGGCGTTCCAGCGAACCTTCACGATAGGGATACGGCTTTGCTTCGTCTGCTTGACCTCACGGTCCATGATCTCTACAGGTTCTTCCATGAAGTTGAGGCTCTCATAGATCTCGATCTCGGCGAGTGGGATTACGAGAGTCTCGTCGGACAGACACTTTTTCAAGTTAGATACGTGGAATGTAGAATGTACGTTACGAAGTGTGTCGGGTAGATCAAGTTTGTAAGCTACGGGGCCGACTCTTGCGAGAATCTCGAAAGGCCCTATGTACCTAGGATTAAGCTTCCCACGCTTACCGAAGCGTATCAAGCCCTTCCAGGGTGAGACTTTGAGAAGGACTCGGTCTCCCACCTGAAATTCCAAAGGTTTTCTGCGTTTATCAGCGTAGCTCTTTTGTCGGTCTCTAGAGGCTTTCAATCGTTCACGAATCTGAACGATCTTCTCCGTTGTTTCCCGAATGATTTCCGGACCGGTGAGAGTACTGTCGGAAGCTTGCCCTCTCGCTAATTGGGTATCACCCACTTCAGCCCAGTACAGAGGGGATCTGCACTTTCGGCCGTAGAGAGCTTCAAATGGTGCTGCTTTTATGCTCGTGTGATAACTGTTGTTGTAGGAAAATTCGATG